GGGGCTACTCAAAACGTGGCCAGATTGGAAGACAAACTAGATGTTCAGCAGGTCCCCGGATTCTTTAATGCATCAGAAAGGAAGACTATGACCAAATGTTAATTAAATGTCTGCAATTAAAACAAACCAAGAAATCGATCCGGTGTGCAGTGAGTCTGAAAGACTGGCAGCATTTAACAGAGCAATAATAGAGGGATAGTAGAAAGGGCGCCAGGTAACTAGGATGATGATTGTGCAGAGCAGTTGAAGAAGCTAAGGATGTGCTAAGCATGTCAACACTTACAAAAGTGGGCACACTATAAAAAGCGGTTAGGAACTTTTGCTGATGATGTTGTTTCGTCCCTGACCGACACCGATCCATCGAACTTTCACGCCACATAACCGTTCAACAGCTTCGACGTAGGTTATAACTTCAGACGGAAGATCTTTGTACTCTCGTATTTGAGTTATATTGGTCTTCCAGCCCGGGAAGGTCTCGTATATCACCTGGACTTTCGAAAGCGCATCTGGGCAGGATGGCAGGGAAGGATAGGTTGCGCCAGTTTCAGGATCCACGTAGGCCTTACCGATTTTAATCTGAGGAGACAAAAACATGAGGTAACAGGGGGTCGGCAAAGCCTATGAAATAAAGGAAATCTGAAACAAAACTGGTGGGACTTAGGTCCGCGGCTGAGCTAGATGGATCAAACCCGCTCAAGACTGGGGAACCAATGTTTATAGCGCGATCACTAGCATCTGCGCACACATTGCGTATGCTTAGACTAGACTCGTAAATGCACAGACAGGCTGCTGGTGAGCATTTCAGACATATATTAAAGCAAGTCATACAAACCAAAACGGTGCGTACGCTGTGCATACCAGAAACAAAAGGGCACAGGCTACTCCTAGATTACAGATCTTGTACGCCAAATCAAGCTTATCCTCCGTTAGTTCAAAGGAATTTATAGCCAAGCATGGGGAGCAACATCTATACGGACGAAGGGTGAACACATCGGACGGTTAGCTACGAAGAACGAGGGGGTTCGTTTGAGGAAGTCGATAAAAACAGTATGGGGAATAGGTATGACTGAACACGGTGAACTTGTAACTGAAACGTTCAGAAATAAACTGCCGGAAACCCAGCCATACACCGAGGTAAGTGTTGCCTTTGGCCTACTGCGAAGTAAGCTTCACAGAAAGACCTGCTAGTCCTTTCAAAGCACAAACTCAGTTAAGCTAAATTTAAGATGAAGCAAATCGAAAAAAAGCGGTATATACTCCAAATCTGACAGTAGTGAAAGCCAGAAGACTAGACGTACCTCATCAAAATCGTCAAGGATGTCGAGCTTGGTAAGAGCCAAAGCGGTAAAATTATTGATCGTATGAGCGTATCTAACGACAACCGCATCCAGCCAGCCAACACGTCGCTTTCGGCCGGTTGTGACGCCGAATTCGCTACCAATGTTTTGGAGGTGCTCTGCTAGATCACCAAAGAGCTCGGTAGGAAAGGCTCCCGAGCCAACTCTCGTAGTGTATGCTGAAATGGAAAAAAGGCTGCGTTATAATTCCGGTTTAAATTGTACACAGCAGCATAGTATAACAGATTTAGAAACTTACCTTTGACAACGCCGTAGACATCACCAACACGCGAAGGAGCAAGACCAAGACCCGTACACACGCCACCGACAGAACAATTGGAAGAAGTGACGTGTGGGAAGGTTCCAAAGTCGATATCAAGCATTGTTGACTGAGCACACTCGATAAGGATCTTGTGGTTGTAACCATGTGCGAGTTTATTGATTAAGTAAACTGTATCACGCACCATTGGT